CTTGTGGGTTGAGGTATGTGCATGGGAATTTTGGTTAATTTTCGTTGGGGAGTTTTTGAGTTTTGCTGTCCCGTTGGACGCCCCTTACAGACTTATAGATATAGATTCTTGCCAAGTTTCTGAACTCCACCATCTCTCTCTCTTTCTTTGCACAAATGCACACATTAGCAATCTGCTCAATTAGCCGAAGGTGTGACATCATTAGACATAAAGACATATCGTTTAACTGCCTCTTGCAAATACATTGAGTTAAAGGCGGATTCACAAGGAGAACTTCTGTTTGGTAAGATGTGTCAAGCCACTTTCTATATCTGGATTCCGGAGAAGTATTTTCAGTGGATTTACAGTATTCCCTCACTTATCGCGGGTGTTACGTTCCGGGACCACCCGCGAAAAGTGAAAATCCACAAAGTAGGGACACTATATTTATTTTAATATTTATAGATTATTTTAGTAGTTATACACTATTTTAAGTCTTTATAAACCCTCCCCGCACACTTATAGTGGGTAACGGTGGTGGTTAACGCTTCCCTTCGGGAAGGCGAGATTCCAGCGAGCTTAAAACAAGCTATTATAAAACCGCTGTTGAAGAAACCATCATTGGATCCCACTAAATTTGACAACTTTCGACCTGTTTCCAATCTCCCCTTTTTGGGCAAAGTCATGGAAAGCGTGGTGGCCTCACAACTCCAGGTATTCTTGAGAGACACGGATTATCTGGATTCGGCACAGTCTGGTTTCAGACCGGGACATGGAACTGAGACGGTCTTGGTCGCCTTAGTGGATGATCTGCGCCGGGAGCTAGACAGGGGGAGTGTGTCCCTGTTGGTGCTCCTGGACCTCTCAGCGGCCTTCGATTCCGTCGACCACGGTATCCTTCTGGGGCGCCTTGCGGGAATGGGCCTCGGGGGCACTGTTCTGCAGTGGCTCCGGTCATTTCTGGAGGGCCGCACCCAGAAGGTGTTATTGGGGGACACCTGTTCAACGCCACTGCCTTTGACTTGTGGGGTTCCACAGGGCTCTATACTGTCCCCCATGCTGTTTAATATCATGAAGCCGCTGGGTGAGATCATCCGGAGTTTCGGGGTGCGGTGTCATCTGTACGCAGACGATGTCCAACTCTGTCACTCCTTCCCACCTGCTACTAAGGAGGCTGTCCAGGTCCTGAACCGGTGCTTGGCCGCTGTAATGGTCTGGATGAGGGCGAACAAATTGAAATTAAATCCAGACAAGACAGAGGTCCTCCTGGTCAGTCGTAAGGCCGAACGGGGTATAGGGTTACAGCCTGTGCTGGATGGGGTCGGACTCCCCTTGAAGGCGCAGGTTCGCAGCTTGGGTGTGATCCTGGATTCATCGTTGAGCCTGGATCCCCAGGTGCGGTGACCAGGGGAGCATTTGCACAGCTCAGGCTCGTGCGCCAGCTGCGCCCGTACCTTGGGAAGTCTGACTTGGCCACGGTAGTACACGCTCTGGTCACATCCCGCCTCGACTACTGCAACGCTCTCTACGTGGGGCTGCCCTTGAAGACGGCCCGGAAGCTCCAGCTAGTCCAGCGCGCGGCAGCCATGTTACTAACAGGAGCGGGACGCAGGGAGCATACAACGCCCTTGTTGTACCAGCTCCACTGGCTGCCGATTTGCTACCGGGCCCAATTCAAGGTGCTGGTGTTGGCCTACAAAGCCCTAAACGGTTCCGGCCCAAAATACCTGTCCGACCGCATCTCGGCCTATGAGCCCACGAGGACTTTGAGATCGTCCGGGGAGGCCCTTCTCTCGATCCCGCCTGCCTCACAGGCACGCCTGGCGGGGACGAGGGACAGGGCCTTCTCGGTGGTGGCCCCCCGGCTGTGGAACACCCTCCCTGTGGACATCAGACTGGCGCCCTCCCTCATGACATTCCGCAAGGGACTAAAGACGTGGTTGTTTGAGAAGGCGTTTGAGTAAGTGCTGCAACAATTGGCAATGACGATTGGAACGGAACATGGATAACGAGATTTGGAGTGTGATTCAATGATGAGACGTTGCGAATGATTTAGTATAACTGTATTATTGATAGTGTCGTTGTTTACTGTTGATGTGATATTGCTTATGTTGTAAATTGTACCTGGTTTTATATGTTGTACACCGCCATGAGTCGCCCTAGGGCTGAGAACGGCGGTCTACAAGTGCAGTAATAAATAAATAAATAAATAAATAAATAAATAAATAAATAAATAAATTGCTACTCCACGATTTTAAAAAGTGAAAATATGAAATACGGAAAATATAACCACTACTTCCAGAGGCATACGTAATGGGGATAAATAAGCACCCTCATCTTTTCTTTGAAAGGTGCAGCAGATTTTCCCATGAAATCCTCCAAGAACTTCAGATTTTTTTCATAGTTTGATGAAACTATGACTACAGATCCCTCCCTCCACCAACCTTGTTGTATGAACTTTCTCTGTTCTAAACGATGTGAAATATAGCTTGGGATAGAGCAGGTATGGGCAAACCCAGGCTTGGGGACTGGATGCGGCCCCTTGGACTCTTTTCTCAGGCCCTCCTCTCTCTCACCATCCTATCCTTCCTTCCTCTCTCTTTTCTTCTTCCCTCGCTCCTTCCTTCCTTCCCTTTCACCATTTTGTCCTTCCTTCCCTCTTTCCTTCTTCCTTCCTTCTTTTTCCTTCCTTCTATTATGTCTTTACTCCCTCCCTCTTCCCCATTCCCTTGCACCCTTGCACCCTTTCACCCTTCCTTCCCCCTTCACTCTCTCCCTCTTTTTCCTTCCTTCCCTTTTGTCTTTCCTTCATTCTCTCTTTCCTCCCTCCCTCTTTCCCCTTCCACCCTTCCAACCTTCTCTTCCTTCCTTCCCTCTTTCCTTCGTCCTTTCATCCTGGGAAATGTTTAGCTGGAAAAGGAGAAGGTAGAGACGGAACATGAGAACAATGTTTCAAGATTTAAAAGGGTGTCCCATTGAGGAGAAGGAGGGGGAAACTGACTTTCTGCTGCTCTAGAGACCAGGACACAAGGGAGCAATGGTTTCAAATGGCAAGGAAAGAGATTTGACTAAAAAGATTAGGAAGAACTTCCTGAGAGTAAGAGCTGTTGGAGAGTGGCATAGGCTGCCTCAGAATGTGGTGGAGTCTCCTTCTCTGGAGGCTTTTTCACAGAGGCTGTCTATTGGGAGTGCTTTGATTGTACCTTCCTGAATGGCAGGGGGTTGGACGGATGGCCCTTGGAGGTCTTCCAACTCCAGGATTCTGTATCAAGAGTAGGCAATATGTTCACCGTTTCATCTGACCACAACCAACCCTTTCAGGATCCAAACATTTCCCATCTTTCCTTCAATTTCTGCCTCCGAAAGAGAAGAGGAAAGGGCAGCAAGGGGACTTGGGGAGAACCCCCTCCCTCTCTGCCCATCCAGCTCCAGTCTGCCATGCGGCTCCCAAGTTAGAAAGTTTCCCGTGCCTGGGATAGAGCAAGGAGATGGCCCCTTTCAGTTTTCAATACAGCATCTCGTTCTTTTCAAAGTCTAAGACTGTATGGCCTGTAAGTCACAGAACAAATTGCTCCCATTGAGGAGAAAAAACGACCTACAGAATGTCACTTTGTTGAATCATATTCTGAGGTTTATCATCTGGAAAATATTTGCCAGGAAGAAGGCTTTTTCCTTGTTCCAAGTTAAGTGAAGGGGGTACCTTGGGGCAGGAAAATTTGAGGGGGACTGACCACTGTAGAGGTGGATTAGATTCTGCCTACTTTTGAACCTCTTCAGAAAAAATAAAGGGGGGGGGGATAAGATCTGTCCAATCAGACCCCTTTCTTCAAATTCTTGAGATACTAAAAATTAAAGGACTTCCACTTCTTACTTGAGTAGATGTCATTTATGCATGCAGTGCAAACTGAATGTGGTATACATATACTGTGTAGACAAACATAAATTACATTAAATCCGCTGGCACTCAGACCAGTTGTCTTGTCTCACCCAACTGATTTTCTGTGTGAAGGCACAGAACACATTTCTGAACCCATCTACAGCCATAATCGCACCTATGCCTGGGATTTCAGGAGCTTAATAAGAACTCTAATTCTCTTATTGCAGGAAATTGAATTTTAAAGTGTTGCACTTGGCAGAATTTCCTTCCTGTTAGTGTTTTAAGCAGCACACCCTCAAATATTCCCAAATATTAACTCAGCATTTGCAAGAGCTCTAAATGTTCAGAAATGTGCTTTATGCCTTGCTACAGAGAAACAGAGTGGCACTTTCCATCAGTAGAACATGGAGGGCAGGCAGTGACTCTTTTTTATCCCCACAGGCCTCTATAAAAGTAAAGGTAAAGATTTCCCCTTGACATTAAGTCTAGTCGTGTACTGCTCTGGGGGGTGGTGTCCATCTCCTTTTCTAAGCCAAAGAGCTGGCATTGTCCATAGACACCTCCAAGGTCATGTGGCAGGCATGACTGCATGGAGCGCCATTACCTTCCCACAGATGCTGTACCTATTGATCTACTCACATTTGTATGCTTTCAAATTGCTAGGTTGGCAGAAGCTGGGCCTAACAGCGGGAGTTCACCCTGTTGCCCGGATTCAAACCGCCAGCCTTTCGGTCAGCAAGTTCAACAGCTCAGCGGTTTAACCTGCTGTGCTACCGGGGGTCTACTCTAGAACAGTTTTATTATTATTATTACTATCATCATCATCATCATCATCATCATCATCATCATTGGTTGTGCAGAGAGATATTATGCTGTGGAGTGCTCCCTCTGCATTAGAAGAGTTTCTCTAGGGTGACATGGCATTTAATCCTCTGTACAGTAAGACCATATTACTCTAAACTCATTTGCTATACTTGAAATATATGCACACCGCATATGAAGGGTTTTAACTGAGCGCTGGTGGCTTGCCTAAGGCACCCATCAACTTTATGCTGAACATCTGAGCTGCAAATTCCCACCCCATAACTTTGCCCTTTCAATCCATATACTGCCATATCAGTTCATAATAAATATTATCTTATTTTCACTCGTTTCCCAATTCTTTTATACCATTAATTAGGAGTACTAGAACATTTCTCTTTAAGAAATATTAACTTTAGCAAGGTTGACAAGAGCCTGCTGGGAAACTCCACTTGTCCTTATTGCCAAGTATCTCCCATTGGCTCTCATTCCATTCCTTGATTCTCACCTGTGGTTTGTTTGAGAAGCTCCAAACCATTTTGTATAGCCTGATCCACATTTTGCTTTCTGAGCACAATCTCTTCTTGAAGAACCTAGGAGATTATATACATATATTTAACAATCAGAGGTCCACAGCTTAAAATCTTACTACTTTGTAAACTACCATGTGTTCTTTTTCAGTATGAAGCAGAGAGAAAAATAGACTTTAAACAAAATATAAAGACAAATAATTCAAGAATAATAAAATAATGAAAGGAAAATGATAGTGCTAAATAATAGAAGGAATAATGAAAATAACAGTAAAACAAAATCAACAGAATATAAGTGCAAATACCAGCATTTCAGTGTGTTGTTTCCCTAATAGGTCAGTATTGTAGTCTTGGACTGCCAGTTTGCTCAGCTTCTCATGAACTTCATTCAGCCAGTTCATTAATTCGACTTCATCCTCTCCAAAAATCTGAGCATTGCAATACGCTTGCTGCAGAAGCTCAGCCCTACTGCTATATTTCTCTTGAATCTCTGTGTATCGGGCTTCTGAAGAATCTAGTTTCTCCTGCACCATGTCTTTATCCTCCTTGGAGCATAAGGTCTTTAGAGCCTGACCAATATGAATGGCTTCCTGTAAACTTGTGTTGTGAGTGCTGATGTCTTCCTCTAAGGCCTAAATAGAGTTTTCAGAGTAGTAAAGAAAAGAAATGGAAAAGAAGAACGAACAAAACCATATAACCAAATATGCATATACTAAAAGGCAACAGAAATAATGTAAAATGATAAATATGTGAATAAACAAAAGTAATGAAAAAGTGTGCATGGAGTAATTTTGAAAGGAATGTTGATTTTGTTGGATAGACAACAGGAATACAATCCCCCAAATGAATAGATCTTACTTTGTGTTGAGAAATTTGTTGTTGAAGTTTGGAAGCCTGTGTACCAATGGGTTCTGAATTTGAAAGCCGCTTTTCAGTGGCTGCTATCCATTCCACCAGTGGTTCAAAAGTTTCATGGAACTGCTGTGCCACTACAGAGATACCTTCCAACTGGCGATTTCTACAAAATACAAAAGGGGGAAGAATATGTACAAAATCCCCAAACTTTTAGCAAATTCATGGTAACGAGAAAAATGAACGAAAGACAAACAAACCAACTACTAATTTAACAAACACCAGACAGTATGAGTAGGACAAAAGGTTGTGGTATTTTATAGTCTTTGCTTGATCCCATTGTGAAGACGAGGTGGCGTAATGGGTTAAACTCTTGTGCCGACTGAACTGGGGACCAGAAGGTCGGTGGTTTGAATCTACGAGACAGGGTGAGCTCCTGTCTGTCAGATCCAGCTTCCCATGTGGGGACATGAGAAAAGCCTCCTACAGGATGCTAAAACATCTGGGCATCCCGGGACAATGTCTCTGCAGATGGCCAATTCTATCACACCAGAAGTGACTTGTAGTTTCTCAAGTTGCTTCTGACATGATAAAAAAATTAATTAATCCCATTTAGTTTAGCTATTCTCATATCGTCTAGTTGGAAAGAAAAAAAGGATCATCTAAAGCTATTGCAAAATACTAACATTGCTGTCATTGTGTGCCTTCAAGATATTTCTGACTCATGGTAACCCTAACCTGGATCTATCATAGAGGTTTTTGTTTATATGAGGGGTGACTTTGCCTTCCTCTGAGGCAGAGAGAGTACATCTTGCCCACGATCAACCAGTGGGTTTCCACGACAAAGCAGGGATTCAAGCCCTGGTTCAGTCCACTATACCACTATACTTCACTATGCAAAATTAAATCTCATTGTTATAAAAGGTGAATTCTCCATGTTGCAAAGAACAAGGAGCTGCCACTGAAAACAGAAGTTTTACCTTAAGATTGCATTACCACTTCTGAAGTGCTTGAATCAGCATATCCTATCTGCTCCTATCAAGTTTCTTTTTTCTTCTGGTGGCAGCCAATGATGCCAATTGGGGAAAGAAAACACATCGTAACAGGTACAAGAACTCAGCTTCTGCCAAATCTGGTTTGGGGCAGAGCTGGTTCTTCTTTATTTTAAACTTTATTTTAAACCCCTATAATGTAGGGCCTCAGTCCTGTCCCTCTCCTGGACCCATTTGGGAGTCCACTATGCCCACAACTATTATTTTCAGAAATTCTCATATGATAACACAGGGAAGTTATGTATTTACTAAGAGAACAAGTAATTGTGTGACATTGCTTTTTCTTTATCATAATAGTGCCATTTCTAATGATAAAGGATGTGACGTCAAGAACCAAGTAGAAACTTGGACAGCCAGTGGGAGAAATAACAAGGAAAGATTAAAGACAAATTTCTACATCACAAAGAATAGAATTCCAACATTTTCCAAACAAAACTAACAATACGGCCATGTGAAGTGAGACAATGATGTCAAGTTAGTCTTGCATAAATAAACAAAAACATTTTGACATCACTGGAAGACTTCTTCAAAAATTTATCCAGGCATGCCTTTGTTTACATCAGTCTCCAATTATTTTATTTTTGTTTTGGTGGCCAAAAAATACAGGCCATTGCTTTTTTTAACATGTTAGAGAGGCTGAAGGTAGCTGCTTTATTATTTTCTTTTTTTTTAAGCAGCCTAATATGACAGTGGGGTTGGCTAGACTAGAATCCCATTCTTTCTCAGGTGTCCGTTATTGCTGATTACTGCAAGGACAGGAGCCCCGGTGGTGCAATGGGTTAAACTCTTGTGCCAGCAGGGCTGCTGACCGAATGATCAGTGGTTTGAATCTAGGGAGCAGGATGAGCTCCTATCTGTCAGTTCCAGCTTCTCATATAGGGACATGAGAGAAACCTCCCCCAAGATGGTAAAACATCCAAGCGTCCCCTAAGCAACGTCCTTGCAGATGACCAATTCTCTCACACCAGAAGCGACTTGCAGTTTCTCAAGTCTTTCCTCACATGAAAAAAAACCCTGCAAGGACAGTACTGCAACCTGACAATGGAAGCCTGTTTCCCCAGCCCTTTTCAACAGCTGATGCTGTTAAAAAAATCTTCCAGCTAGATAAAGGACAGAGATAGAAAGGGATAAAAGGATTTTGCAAAAAATAAGGTTCTTTGTTAAAGGCTTTGTTAATGGAGGCATGTCTGTATTCAGAGCAATTTTCTCATTCATCTTCAAATGTGAATACTGATCTAGTCATTAGCGGAATGAAAATGTTGATATAGCTTCAAACAGCATCTACCGTGCTACCTTGAGGGGGTATACCATGCCATACGCCTAAGTAAATGAAAACATTTCAAGTACCTCCTTTTTGCTTTATCGAGCAGCGCATCCCATCTGCTATCCAGGAGGCTCAGCTGTTTCAAGATCTTCTCTTTATCAGCAGGCTCTGCTGACTCTGCAATTTTCTCCCCTTCACGCTTGATCAATTCGACAGTGGGCTTGCGGTCGTCCAACAATCTCTGGAGAAGCTGGAGACAAAATAATCATAAAATCAATTGCCAGGAAATATCTGCTATCTGGCTGTCAAAGAGGTAGATTCTTCAAAGTCTGCTTTAAGGGAATAATTTTCAGAGAACTCAACTAAATATCATTGTTTGTGTATGTACAGTATAAGCAATTCATTCCTACTGCTGGCAAACTGAACCAATCTCAAACGTAGCTATAGTTTCCCTTTTATACCTTTTCATTCATATTTCTGTTTCATGTTACATTGGGAGAACAGTGTACATTCATTAATAGCCTTCTATGAAGTAGGACACAGTTGCACAAATATTTCCAGTGGGACATTCAGTGGCTTGCCACATAACTTCATTTCCCTGTTAAAAGACTTCCATTCAATCCTCTAAGGAGACGTATACTATGGTCACGCCAAAGAACAACATATTTAACTATGATAGAGCAGACCCACCTAATTAAATACAAGATGTGCAACCTAGAAAAACCACTTTCAAAAACAGCTTCTCCAAGCAAATAAAATGTAAGGTGGCGTCTGGCAGCAAGAGGCCCCTAAGCCATAACTGGCTGCCAGCAGAAAACCAGCATCTTTCCTTCCCTGTTCAGTTGTTGCCTCAAACGCAAGAGGACTGCATGGACAAAGAAGCAAAGGTTATGGCAAAAAGATCTACAGTCCACTTTGGGAGGAAGGATCTAGTCAATAATCTTCTGTTCCCTATTTTTTACAAAAAAATAGTTGCTGCAATTAGAAAAGTCAAAGTATGGTTGTCTACAAGATCACAACTGCCTGCTTGCCCCAGTTCTTCTCTCTGTGTCTTTCCCATAAAGTCTAAAAGGTTAAAGTTTCCCCTGACATTAAGTCTAGTCATGTCCAACTCTAGGAGGTGGTGCTCATCTCCATTTCTAAGCCAAAGAGCCGGCATTGTCCGTAGACACCTCCAAGGTCATGTGACCAGCATGACTGCATGGAGTGCATGTAGACCCATAAGGTCTACATCTTGCATCATGTTCAGCATGGAATGGTCCTCAAAATGAAGGACATAAATATTAGATGTTATTTGGTGTATTATCATAGGACTCCTTCTGCAACAATTATGTATTATATAGATCCTATTCTAAAAAGTTGTGGCGCAGCTGGTTGGGAGTCAGATGCATTAAAATCACTACTGACTGAGAGGTCACGAGCTGGAAACCAGTTCGGGTTGGAGTGAGCTTCCAGCCATTTGTCTAGGTTGCTGTCGACCTTTGCAGCCCGAAAGACAGTTGCATCTGTCAAGTAGGAAATTTAGGTATCGCTTATGCGGGGAGGCTAATTTAACTAATTTACGACACCAATAGTGTGCAAAAAGACTGAGGAAGTACTCCATCGGTGTCACAAGTGGATGGTAAAGCAACAGCTTCCCCCAGTGGCTGGAATTCAAAAAGCATACCCTCATGAAGCTGGAAAGATAAATAGCCTCTGTGTCTCTGTCTATATATGTTGTGTGTGTATGGCATTTAATGTTTGCCATGTATATGGGCATTGTGATCCGCCCTGAGTCCCGTGCAGGGTGAGAAAGGCGGAATATAAATACTGTAAATCAATCAATCAATCAATCAATCAATCAATCAATCAAGATGGGGATAATGAAAAGACAATGTCAATAAAGCTCTGCACCTTATCAAAGCAAAGTAGTATGTCTGTGCTCTAAACCCCATACTAAGTTACAATGGGAGGAGATGCATTTTAGTAACACGATTTAAATAAGTGTTGATAGCAGTTAGCTATTGATCCAGTGAGCCTAGTTCAATTGGCAGCTGGAGGTGTATAATCCTGTTTTGATATGTTTCTGTTTCAAAGGGTATCACTTAATGTGATTATGATCATAATTATTGGTTGCAAACCAGGAAATACGTTCAAGGTATGACTTTGCATGTATATCCCAAACGTTCTGACAGAAAATCCTGAATATGTAGCTTCCGTTGGATTGTATCCCAAAATAACTTTCAGTTTTGCATGATAATCTGAAATCTGATTTCATTATGTACAGCTGCATCTTTGGTTGCTCAATTGTCCTAATAGCCTGAGAATTTGACTCACAAGGAATCCTGCTGTTTCTCTTTTAGTAGGCTCTCTTCATTGTTTCATCCACATAATCTCTTGTTGATTTTGTTAGAGCATTCACAGAATGTGATCCTTCTAATACTATACTTTTAAAACCTGCTCTTTTCCTGAAAAAAATATTTTTTTATTTTGAAAAATAGAGTATTTGCGGACCTACTAGATCTACTCACTCCCTCCTGTGAAATATTCATTATTGCCAATTCAGCATTTATCAGCATTTAAAAGAAAATGAGAGCACGAGGAAGTATATAATTCCAAAGTGGAGTTATAATAATTAGAAAACATGATGCCTCTTTATTGGATCTATGTTATCAAGTGACAATACCATGAGCTGCTGATACACCAAGATGGTACATTAATTCAAAAAAGATTTTATAAACCCCTACAAAGTTCAAAACCAGCAGGAGATCAAGTGGTGGGAGGTGGAAGCAGACAAGGCTTTCATTCTCACTAATCCTCATCTGCAGACAGACAAAGGGTGCAAGATATAGAAAAGCTCAACTGCCCCCACAGTGAGTGGCATACATGAGTACAAGGAACACATTAATTTCAAAATCATGGTAGAGGAGTGAAGCTCTGGCAGGATACTGACCTTAATTTCAACCTTATTGAGGTAGGCCCCCAATGTGAAATTTAGATTTTTCTCCCTCTCAGTGTTGTATTTGCAAACATTTCCTTGTCTTTGAAACCACAAATACATTTTGTATTCACATCCAAGTGTAAACAAAAGATAAATGATGCAAAGAGTTCGTACTCCAGATACCATTTCTTCTCTCTTTGACACATACAGAAGTATCCATACATCCCACTGAAGAGGTATTAGAAAGAAATACATTTGATAGAAGAACAGATAAATCACTTCCACTCACTTTCTGTTCCTGAATTTGGGCTTTCACAACCTTAAACTCAGCCGATGGAGGTTTCTGATTAGCTACAAGGTCTTCTGTATCAATCAGCCAACTCAGAATAGATTCAACAGCATCTTGAAACCTTCCACAGTGCAGCAGGGCTTCTTGCAGCTGAGCTGCTCTTTGAGCCACCTGAAAAATCCCAGAGACATCCACTATAAATACAATTCCCTTCATATGCCCAATACCATAACTTTATACAATACAGTATCTTCAAGCATACCTTCAGGATAATAGTTAAAGGCAGCCTCAGACTGGTTTTATTTTACTTTATTGAGGATCTTCTCTCCACCCCACTCTCTCCCTAAAATTGGCTGGACAATCTTGAGGGTCTTTCACGGAGATTAATGTGTTTATTTATTTATTTACCATATTTATATTTCTCCTTTCTCGCCCCAGAGGGAACTTAAGGCGGCCTTACAACAGGCAGGAATTCAATGCCATCCATACATGTATCAAACAAAACAATTACACTTAAAGCCAAACAATTAAAATATGAATTATTAAAACAACAATTAAAATCATGCCATCCAAAATATAATCCAAGGCCATCCCATTTGTCAATCACATTGAGTCATGGTCACTTACTGCACTGCTCCAATTGCTTGTCAAAAGCTTTGTCCCAAAGCAATGTCTTAAGTTTTTTTCCTGAAGGTCAGGAGAGAAGGGGCAGATCTGATTTCATTGGGGAGAGAGTTCCACAGAGGAGGGGCCACCACTGAGATGGCCCTGTCTCTCATCCCCACAAGTCAATCTTAATCTCCGAGATGGTTCATAGAGGGAGATATGTTTGGACAGGTAAGCTGGGCTTTATAGGCTAAAGCTTGCTACTGGACACAATTCAAAATGCTGGCTTTAGCCTATAAAGCCCTAAACAGTTCCGGCCCAGCTTACCTGTCCGAATGTATCTCTCCTTATGAACCACCTAGGAACTTAAGATCTTCAGCGGAGGCCCTGCTCCCAATCCTGCCTCCCTTGCAAGTACATCTGGTGGGGACGAGAGACAGGGCTTTCTCAGTGGTGGCCCCTCGGATGTAAAACTCCCTCTAGGGATATTAGACTGGTCCCCTCCCTCCTGACTTTCCAAAAAAAAAGTAAAAACTTGGTTCTTCGAGCCAGCTTCTGGGAAATGCAGCATAATAAATAAATATGAAACTATGAAGAATGAACATGGAATGGCTAGATGATCCTATTGGAAATGAGTTTAACAGGACAACGTTGGTGATTATTCAGTTTTAATGGTTTTTATATGGTTTTATATTGCTATGCTGAATGTTTTTAATTGTATTTTGTAAGAATGTGTGGCATCGAATTGTTGCCAATGAGTAACCTGCCTTGAGTCGCCCTAGGGCTGAGAAAGGCAGGCTAGAAATACCAGGAATAAATAAATAAATAAATAAATAAATAAAGCCAGCACTTTGATTTGTGCTTGGTAGAAGACTGGCAGCCAGTGGAGCTGGTGTAATGAGCAATTGTGTGCTCCCTGTACCCTGCTCCAGTGAGCAATCTGGCAGCCGCCCATTAGATGGCTTGAAGTTTCTGAACAGTCTTCAAAGGCAACCCCACATAGAGCATGTTGAAGTAATCTATTCAGGATGTAACCAAAGCGTGGACATTTCAGCCCTGGAGGTGTAAGGCATATCTAAACTGTAGAATTAATGCAGTTTGACACCACAGCAACTGCTAGAGCTCAATGCTATAGAATCATGGCTTTCTATGCCAAAGTGTGCTGGTGCCTCATAAAACTACAATTGGTTACATAGCATGGAGCCATGTGAGTTAAAGAGGTATCAAATTACATTAATTCGACAGTGTACCAACCCTGGTTTAGGATACCAATTTAAATCTTACATGTTTTTTTATTTCTGTTAACTCTTTATTGGTATGGAAATATCTCTGAATCTAAGGTATTATTTCAAATTTTGTCAATCTCTGCAATATTTCACTATGGACTTCAAAACTTGGCCACATGTGCAACAAATGGGATACTCTGCTCTAGTTTCTGAATGGGATGTCTGTGCAAGTGCAAAACTCATCTGTGTGAAGCACAGAGTCCACAAAGAACAATAAGGTTATCCCTTTTGCACCATATTGCTTTAACTAGAAGGCAGGGCTAACGTTTACTCAACTGTCTCCAGTTATCATGATGTGAGAAGTATCAGATTTTTAGTTAGCAATATCATTAAGACAAATGTGATTTTCGCTCCTTGTAGCTATGTTCTAACATTATTTGAAACACACAACATGGCTTCCATGCCTGTCTTGCATCCTGACACTGGGAGAAAAGTGGGACAAACATAAAGTCAATAAATAAAAATACACAAGCATTCAAGGACATGCAGACATCTGGGCTGAAGAGACCACATTTTTTGTTAGGCTACTGACAGAAACCTAATTAAAAATACTTAATAGTAGCTTTCTTTCTGGAACAGGAATAACAGGAAAACAAAAGCAATGTACTCAGAACAGTGAAAATACATCTGAGTCACCTTTTTGTTGAGAGTTTTCCATTTTGTATTCACATCCTCAAGATCATGCTCAAGGTTTTCGGTGCTAGTGTTTTTAGTCGCACTCTGTATAAGGCCTTGACCCAACCAATTGACCTCTTGTTGCTTAACCTGCAGCGGTTCGATCGCTTCTTTCTCAAATACCTGTCAAAATAAAAGGCAAAGACACACCTTCTCTGATGAATCTGAAGCATGCTCAGCACAACAATCTCTAAGGCAGAGATAAGGAGTAAAAGAATACGGCAAATACTGAGTGCAATGTTGCAAGATAGTATTTAGCTATACAACGTACATAATAAAATGGCTCTTAATGATGTAAACTTTTTAAAAAGTACATAGAAAATTACATACACAGTAAGTTAAATAAGAACCGACACACTGTTATTATTAAAAAAAATGTAACAAAACCTGTATTTAAAACTGAAAGGTAAACAATAGTAGCGTTTCTATACCCCATTAATGCATGCACTTCTATACTGAATTAAATGGGAAGGTGCACTCTGTGGGTACATAAGCCCATCTAAAAAGGATTACACAGTGGGAAAAGACTCATCTCAAGACTAGAAAATGTTTTGCAACAAGTGTGGGAATAATGCAGTACTACAGATAGGTTGGACTGCAAGCTCCAGTCAGCACACTAGCAATGAGGAATGCTGGGAGCTGTAGGCTAGGAACAACTGAGAGGTCTGTCTTATGGAACATCTACATTGTAGAATTAATGCAGTTTGATATCACTAACTTCAGTGATTAAATACAATGGAGTCCTGATGAGAGCTATCATTTTACAGCTTTATTTATTTAGCCCCATCAAACAACAAATCCCAGGATTCCATTACATTGTCCTATGGCAACTAAAGTGGTGTCTAACTGCATTCATTCTACAGTGTAGATGCATCCTTTAAGTCTCTCTTTCTTGAGGCAATACAACTGGGCAGAACTATCATTGCATACAGAATCACTGCCTATTCCTGTCAACAGATCTTCAGTAAGCTGAAGTATTGTAAAGAAGGAAAAAATGTAAAGTTGGGAAAGGAAAAAAACAGATTGATTTTCTGCTCTGACATCATTTGTGGTGGTGGAAATAACTGGTGAATCCTGTAAGATAAATGATCATTGCCTTGCAGGTGTTGAAGCAAAGATGAGATGAGATGAGCTGGAAGAAAGTGAGTTTTAGGCTACAGGCCAGCAATGTTTAGCATCCAGGTGTGTATATGTTTTGGGGTTTTAAGAAACAACCCCCACAACTATTTAATTGTGAGAAGCAAGGAAGTAAAAAGACTCCCTTTCCTAAAAACCGCAGCCCTACCTATCACCTTTTTGGGAAATGGTAATACAAATAATTACTTTTAAAAAGTAACTTTCCAGACTCCTATGATTAATCTATATAGCATATAATGAAATAACCTTTTTCAATATTGTTGCTGATTGTATTTTTCAATTTGAAAAATAGAATTAAAAAGTCATACCTCATTTCTTTCACAAATATTTTTTATCCATTTAGTTGCAACTCCGTGTTGATTAAGTGTGGGCGCTGATGTTCAGGTGCAATTTCTTTTAGTGCTTTTGAATGGATTTGTGTGTGTCATATCAGCAAATTAAAGTGTTTTGAAAGCCTATTAGAAGACTTTAACCCTCACTTTACTGTTTACTATGAACTCCCCAAAGAAATTTTAACCAGTCACATACTATAAAATAAAAATATCAAAGAAAGTTGTGGAAAAAAACTGTACACGATGGAGCAAATCTGATGTCATTTTGGATCTAGAATGCCAAATTCCTATAAAACCAGGATACATTTTTAAGAAGGTTTACATGACACACAATTTTATAGTCCTGTGTTATTATTACTGATGAGACTCCATGTGACTATATTTCGCTAGTATTCTTCTCTGGCATTAAATTTGAAATTATTCAGAGGATGATATCATCACAACAGATCTATGTCAATTTACCAACTTAAATAAAGTTCATCTGAGAGTACTCAAGACAAGAAAGGTATCATATTCTGTCATAATTAAAGGAGAAGCTCAAAATTATGAGAACAGAATAAATATCTTTTGGCCCTAATACCTCTCAGATTTGTAACAGTTATTCAATTATTTCTCCCTTTCCAGATAGTAATCTTCCCATGGTACATAATACACAGTCATATAATTGCACTGTAATACTGAGCTATAATATTTAGTGTTTTAGCCCAGAGGACTGTTCAACCTTGTCCCATTTTCAGAGTTATACCTGAAAGGACCAAAGCAGCCAACTTATTATCATACTATCAAAGAAGAGGAAAACAGGGTCAAACAGATTTAGGATACCATGATTACTGGAAAATCAGATATGTATAAATTCATTTCATATTTCATAGCAATGTTTCTATCTATTAATCAAACATGAATGAGGACCTCAAATAATATAAATATCTTAATATCAAAAGGAAAAACACAATGGATATGCCCATTGTTGAAAACATCACATATGAAAATCTGGAATGCATAAATACTTGGAATATTCTCCTCCAAAATTATTATTATTATTATTATTATTATTATTATTATTATTATTATTATTATTACGCTGCTGCTCATTTTCACCTCTTTTTTGCTCTCCACAAAGGAGACTCAGAGATAGGAGTTGTCCAGCAACAGGCTTGGTGATCTGAAAACAGCTAGAAAACAGAATCTTTGTATTTCTAATTATTTATTAGAAATGGCTATACACGGATCCTTCTTACACCTAAAATCATAATTCATGACGAGACATCTGTCTCATAATATGTTTATCTCCAAATAGAGGCCAAAAGCACAATGTCACCTTGGTTAGTGAACAGAGTTTTTCCCCAGTTTGGCCCTTGAACCAGTTATATTTTGGTAGGATTTGCATTGGGATCATGATTGTTAGGCATGTGACCCACCTGTGGGATGTATTAGAGATGGAAAAGAAATGTACTACATTTGCATTTTAATTTGAATGCATGAAATCTTCACTTTTGAAATAGGGATCAAAATTCAGTTATGCTTTCAAATATGTGTATCTCCTATGAAATAGATTCCTTCAACTAAAATATGCATAAAAATAGGCTATTACAGGAAAGTGAAGATGAGATGTATATTCTAGTAAAATAAGTCAAAATAGATCGCATTAAGGAAACTAATTGATCACTGGCAAAATTATGTCCACAATTAATACTGTATTAGGAGAAATGTGCACAAAATCCATACGTATTTTCTAGGCCTGTTTGATCAAGAAAAAATTTGTTTCTAAAATCGATTTGTAATTGGGGTGTTTTTTTGTTTCGATATTTAAAATATTTACAAAACTTTCCAAAAAAAGTTTTGGTATTTACGAAATTTTGTAAATATTAACGAATTTTTAGAATATTTTTTTTATTTTTTAAGAATAATATTAAAATAATATTAAAAAATATTTTAAAATGGAAAATTAACCAAAAAATGGCCCAAATGTGGACCAAACACAGGCAGGAGACAGCAAATGAGAGCACACACCAACAGAAGAGTCTTTTCTTTTTTAGAATATTTTTTAAGAATAATATTAAAATAATATTAAAAAATAATATTAAAATAATATTAAAAAATATTTTAAAATGGAAAATTAACCAAAAAATGGCCAAATGTGGACCAAACACAGGCAGGAGACAGCAAATGAGAGCACACACCAACAGAAGAGTCTTTTCTTTTTTAGAATATTTTTTAAGAATAATATTAAAATAATATTAAAAATAATATTAAAATAATATTAAAAATAGAAATAATATTAAAATAATATTAAAAAATATTTTTAAATGGAAAATTAACCAAAAAATGGCCCAAATGTGGACCAAACACAGGCAGGAGACAGCAAATGAAGCAAGCAGCACTCACAGCAGCAAGGAATGAATCCAATCCAGTTGCTAGCCATTAGCCAAGCCAACCCAATGCAAACTCCCTCGCCCTCTGCAGCAATGAGCTACGGCCGCGCGGAGCCGCTTTGAAAGGGCTCGCCGGCCAATCAAAAACAAACACTACAGCCACGGACCCACGGGAGCGCCGGATTGGCTCCCAGGCACCAGCACTCCAGCAGCCTCCACCCCATTAACGAAACGAGCGGAAGCTCGTTAAATCTATGGGGGTTGCCGGTTCGATATTTTAAAACCCTTCCGGGTTTGGAAATGTGTTTTGATATCGCTTCAAAAATGCCTAAAATAACGAATGTTTAACGAATTAACGAACGAAACCGGACAGGCCTAGTATTTTCATTTGAACCTAAAAAAAATCACAAAGTTGGAACAGCCCAAACATAAAGATGAATCCTGAACTTAAGACCAGAAAAATGAAAAACTGTGAGAAACCATAGCTGACAGATCCAATCCTTCCCTACATTTGTGGTGTACCCCATAGCTCTTTCATTTTGCATTTCACCATGGAAAAAGAATGGGAGTCTTCAGAACTTTTGGTGAACATAATCATTATGGGAAAGCACACTTAGCATTTTGTAAAGCGGAGTCTGGGGAATACAGTACAGTACTTAAAGACAGTACAAAACATGCTCTTAAAAACAAAAACAAAATATAATATAGAAACCTGCCTTTACTTTAAATAAATAAACAACTAGTAACAAAGACAAGTTTCAACAAGTTGCTTTAGGCAATTCCAAGTGCTAGCTTAGTGGCAGTCCTGATCTCTGTTATCTGATTGGTAGAACCTTACATTCTTATGTCCCACGTGACAACCATTTTTGGCACTGTCTTTAGTTTAAGCCAAGTAGGAGATTGCTGTATGAAAAGACCCTTCTCCCTCACATCTATCCCCCTTTTCCTTTGGACTCACAGAACGATCACACAGTCCTTAGGTTCCAACTCTCGGTCTTTCAGATTTCATTGCCTCTAAAAGACAATCCCATAACATTCCAAAACAAGGGTTCTCCCTAGATCTGTTTTTAGGAACACGTCTATGCACAAAAAGAAGGCAGCGAGGTTAGAGTTTACCAGAACAGCTCAGCAACAAGCCCACAAATAACATAAGATGCAACCAGACTAAAGAAACTGGCCAAAGGGAAATAATTACAGACTTCACAAGCATCCCTTGCTTATTACAAAGCTTTACTCTTTTTGCCTTACTTTGGACAGTGCTCAGCAAACATTACGACATCCC